GAGACAGAACAACGTTTGAACCACCAGCAAGCTGACCACCAGGCGATTTAGCACTGGTCAAAGCAGCAGAAAAAGTTGCAGTTTGTATAGTTGGGAATCTGGATGTATTTTAGCAGGTGGTTTTTGTATTTAATTTTAAGAAAAATTGCGCGGAAGACACTGACAACGATGTGCCAAAAACTGCCAAATTTGAGGTCGAAGAGAATTTTTGACTAAATTATTTTTAATTTTTAAAAATTTGTTTTACAGACTCGAAGAAGGTGATGGTCCGGGCATGAAAAATAGATGGGTACCGAAGGATGGCTGGGACAAAATGAACGATTATTACAAGTATTTGAGGGAACGCACCATCGAATATTCGATATAAATGCAAAATTTTTCTTAACAAATAGTTCTTCTGCTTAAAATATTCATATTTCCGAAGAAAAGCGGTGAGATTGCGCATTTGGTGCAGTCGCAGTCCAATTTTGCAAAAATACGGACGAATTTAAGTTATTTTTTTTACGGTTTCCAAATTCATCGAATCACAGTTTTTTCCTACGATTAATTCTCGTGATTTATGATTATTACTTGAAATATGTTTTTTTTTGCGCGGTAACTACACGGGTAATGTGTTTACCTGCTTAAGTTAAACAAAGTGCACAATTTTCTGTTTTTTTTCTCGATTTTTTTAGTTTTTTTACGATTGTCAGCTGCAGGATTTGGAGAATTCTCACGCAATGTCACTTGGCCCAGTTCTGACATAACTTTGTCATCAAAAAGCCTCTTCTATGCTAGGCAGAAGTATCTTTGTATAATATTTATGTCATTTTTATTCTGTGTACTTTGTTGAAAGTATTTTCTTTTGTTTTTTATCAAACATTTTGTCATAATTTTGATAAAATTTATTAGTTTTCGTGGCTTTAAAAATATGAAAGGTTTTCGCGCACCTTTTGTTATTTTACAAAGTTCGGAGCAAAAAAGATTTGCTGTTTTGAGCACCATTTTTTTAGTATATTCTATACTTTGGATGGCTTATTTTTGGTATTTTGATCAGCTTTGTTTCTAGGGTGATTCTCTAGTTTGAGATGCAACTCTGTAAGTGCCACTTACGCTCATAAGCCGATCCAGGACGGCTTTCTGGAAGAAGGGGGGGAGGGGCGGGGGAAGCGACTGGGGGTGTCGAAGAGAGTTTTCTATAGTAAAACAACTGCTATCTGTACGTGCCCCCCTCCCCCCTCTCCCCTTCCCATCGCCCCGAATTCACCAGTGCTTATGCTGCGGTATTTTTGACTTCTGAGTCTTTTTAGGTAAAAAATTTTATGAGTTAATTTTTTCAAAAAAGAAAAAGCTGGCGTAATTCAATTCTTCTTTTTTTTTTAGAATTACTTTCCCCAGGAAAAGCCGAGATTTTTGGTAATGGTGCATGTTGAAGAAAACGACCCTGAATCGGAAAATGCCAAAACAACCGAATCAGCTGAAGAGCAGCAGCACGAGCTTATGGATGTTGTGGAGATTAGCGCAACTAGCCTGGAAAAAGCAGCAAGTGAACGTAAACGACGGTTGAAACAAATGCGCGAGCAAATGGAAAGTACGATTTTCGTCATCATTTTTTTAAGGAAATTTTATTTTTTTTCCGTAATTTTATCACTTCCTTGAATGGAATTTTGGCGTCATGCCAAAATATCCCTTGTCACTCTTTGCCTCACCCCCGCCTCATTCTTTTCCGTCTCTTCCCTTCCCCCCCCCCCCCCCCCCCCCCCCCCCCCCC